ATTTCATCATCTATCTTCCTAATCATCCTTTAGGTTAGGAGAATTTTAACTATTGAAGGGCTAAATAGTCAGTGACTAAAGTGAAATGATTTGTTCTAAAATATTTATAAAAATATTCTTTTGCCTATACTATAGTAACGCATTCTAATTCTGTTGCTTCATAGTTAACTTCTTCTTTCTTAAGGCTTTCTTGTATAAGCAATAGGATGTTCTTTTCCATTATCTGCAATTTGACTTAAAGTTGTTCCAAATCCATTATAAGAGGCATCAGTAGAGACGATAAATTTGGTTTTATAATTTGAATAGATTAGAATAGGAGCTGTAACTAATCTTTATTTAAGTTCATCAAAAGCTTCTTGTCATTATTGATTCTATTTATATTTAGTGTCTAGATGTAATAGCTGATTTAGAGGTTAGGCTATAGAAAAAAATCTTTTAATAAATCTTCTGTAATAATTAGTTAGTTCTAAAAATGATCAGAGTTGGGTCACATTAGTAGAGGATAGGATATTTTGTACAGCTATAATCTTTTCTGGGTCTGGTGAGATTCCTTCAGCTTCTATAATATGTCCTAAGAAAGGTAGTTGTTTCATCCAAAAAGTATATTTTTCTAAGTTAAGCTTGAGTTCAGCTTTTCTGATTCTAGTAAATACTTTATGAAGATGTTGAATATGATCTTTAAATATCTGTGAAAATACATTGGTGTTATCTAAGTAGACAACAACATATTTATAGGCTATACTCTAGTAAATCTGATTTATGAGATGTTGGAAAGTAGCAGAGGCATTGCATAGTCTGAATAGCATTATATTGAACTCGTAAATACTATACTTAATGATAAAAGCTATTTTTTCTCTATCTGCAAGATGCATTATTACTTACCAATATCCACTCATAAGATCAAGAATAGAAAAATATGTAGCTCCTGCAAAGGAGTCTAAAGTTCATCTATATGAGATAAAGGGTAAGAGTCTTTCTTGGTTATCACATTAAATTTTCTATAATCTATACAAAATCTTTTTTTTCCATTTTTCTTCATAACTAAAACAACTGGGGATACCCATAGACTAGTTGATTCTTTAATTAGATTGTTATCAAGTATCTATTGTATTTCTTTCTTGGTTAATAAAGGCTTGTTCAGTAATAGGTACTGAATAAGATTGAGAACTTATTAGAAGTACATCTTCAGTATATATCTTATGCATTACTAGATTAGTTCTACCTAGTTGAGTAATATCTTTTGCAAAAAGGTCTGCAAATTCTCTAAGGAGTCATTTAAATTTTATTTCTTAGTCTGGAGTCGATATTCCTGTTTTTGGAGCTATTTTTTGGAAGATCATATACATTTCTTTCTTTTGTAAATTATTATTTAGAGCTGATTCTAAGGCTTCAAGTTCTGAGGAAAGTTCATTTGAGTCACTAAGTTGTTTTTCATCTTGCTTAGGATGATTTAAAAATTTAAGGAGGAGGTCGAAGTAATAAGTTGTTCACTATCTACTTGTGCAAATTGTTTCTGGTATAAATGTCTTATCTGTTGGTAGAATCTTTCAAAGCTATCAACTTTGTTCTAGAGGATTTTAATTGTCTGAGCCTGATATTCAAAGGTCTTGGCTTGAACTTAGAGAAGGGTAATAATCTGGGCCTGTTGTTCGACTTGTTGTTATAATAATTTAATGAGTTCATCATGGTCAGGTTTAGGTTAAACTTGGGGTAGAGAGGGCAATTCAGGTTGAGTAGAAAGGTCTTCTGGTTGTAGTTCTGGTTAAGATTTAGGATGTAATTCTTCATGACATTCTTGGCAATATTCCTCATATTGTTTGAGCTCTGCTTTCTGCTTAGGCCTAAAACAACTTTTACATAGAGCTACTTTATTGTTGAAATTCTTTTGGAGATTTTCTATTGCTTTATAGTGATCAAATTCAGGGTGAGATTAGTCAAAAGATTCTTGTAGAATTCGATCTAAAATTTCTTGTTCTGTTTCTAAGAGAGTTATATAAGATACTCTTATGATGATATTGATATCATCATCAGAGTAGTTCTGATTAGATTGATCATTCATTTGGGGTTCTAAAGCTTCAGTAATATTCTGGTAACTTTGACCTAACTTGACCTTAGCAAGGCGAAACATTCTACTTTGATTAAGGTTATATGCATGTCCTGCATTTCTAGTAGATTCTGTTTAGTAACATATTTGGGTCTATAAATTATAGTTGGGGTTCTATTCTATATCTTGGGCTGCTTTGTATGCATAAAATGTTCTAGATTACAAAACCAAGAATCTTCTTGAATTGTATCCAACTTATGCATTCTGGTCCTAATATGTTTTTCTTGACAAAGAGTACATTTAGTAAGGAGGTCTTATCCATCACCATTGGTAAAATATTCTATACTTCGTGGGACTTCTCTTGGAAGTTGTTGGTAAAAGTCAGTTCAACAAATCTTGCATACTAGGATGTTATTAAGAAGGTGAATATCTTCTGGCATCTGAGGAGTTTTACATTTACAGCAATAGTTTTTTCTTTTATGCTATAGTAAATTATTTGTCTATCTTCTACGTTATCTTGGCTATATCTATATTTATATTGTTAGTTATCCTTCTTGAGAGGAATAAGAGGACAATGAATACTGATATATTCTAACTTATTGCATTGATAGCAATAGTTATAAGGGCAATTAGCATATTGATGCTCAGTACTATCATATATTTTGTAATAGTTTAGCTTTAGTAGATTGTAAGAGCAATATTTAGAGATGTGTCCTAGCCTTTTGCATCTATTGCATTGATTATCAGAGTAGTCTGCAAAGACATATTTATTTGAGTAGCAGTTTCTACACTTTTTATATTGATTGTTTAATGGAGGTCTGTTTCTGAGTCTAGGAGTTAGAGTTATTCAAGGTTAGTTATTAGTTTTTGAATCTGCGACTGTTAGAGTATAAGCTTCTTTTTGGAATAGAAATTCTTGTTCAAATTGGTCTAATTCATGCTGTTTCCTTACTGTTGTTTGAGTAGGTAAAGGTTGGTGTTATTCATAGGTAGTAGAAAAATGAATTTTCTTATTGTTCTATTTTAAAGTATAGGCATCATTTTTTCAATTATAGGTAGCTTCAACTTTTTGAGACCAGTCATTGCCTAGAAGAAGAGAATAAGAGGTAGCATCTATAACTTCTATATCTATTGGAATGGTTATTCCTTCAATTTCTATAGAGAGATTTTTGATTATTTCTAGAGGTCTAATAGAAGATCCTGTGGCTGATAGGATTAAGCTAGAGGAGCAAGTATCTATCTTGAGTCCTAATTCTTTAACAATCTGATATGAGATCATACTGATAGAGGCTTCACTATCAATAATAGCTTAATAGGGTTAATTCTTAATCTTAATATTGCATTTGATAGATATAGTATGAGTTGAGGTTTGAATAGTAGTACTAGAAGAGGGAGTAGCAAAATATATTTTCATAGCAGTTTGTAGTGACTCATTGAAGAAATATAATTCAAATTGTTCATAATTATAATCAATGAGGTCTGCTGCATAAGCTTCTTTAGGATGGTTCTATATCAGAATCCTGACACACAAAATCCCAACACACAAAATACTGACAACAAAATCCTAATATTCAAAATCCTAACAAATTAAAATCTAGACAAATCAAAATCTTGACATTCAAAATCTTGACAGGATCAAAATCCTGAAAAAACTAGCTAACTTTAAAACTTATTCTGGCTAACTTTGTTAGGATTTTGATCTTATCAAGATTTTGAATGTCAAGATTTTGATTTGTCTAGAATTTAATTTGTTAGGATTTTGAATGTTAGGATTTTGTTGTTAGTATTTTGTGTATTGGGATTTTGTGTATCAGGATTCTGATATAGAACCGATATTGGCATATTAATTAAAGTTGTTTAGGAGAATAATTTACATATATTATAAAATTTTTATATAATTTAAATAACCTTTTGTTAATTTACTTTTGCACTTTATGTTTCTATGACTAAAAATTACTTTAAATTACTTTCTAGTCAGAAGTGTAAAGTGCAAAAGTGAACTAATAAAAGGTTATTCAAATTAGATAAAAATTTTACATTATATATAATTTATTTTTCTGAACAATTTTACTTAAAATACTAATATCAATTTGATTATTAAATTTTTAACTTATCTATATAGCTACAATTATTAGTTAATTAAAATTAGTTTTTAAAAAATTTAATAAATATTTTTAACAAACATCAACTTTTTCTAATGATTCCTTTTTCTATAAATTCAAAAAAGCAAAAAACAAAAATTTATTGAAGAAGATATGAAAAAAAATAAATCAACATGGTGGAATGGATATGAAGAACAAGATATTGTTTTGTTGGAAAATTTTCATAAGAAAGTTAGATGGGATAGTATTGTAAATATATTGAACGATACTGAACATAGTGTGGAAATGAGATATGGTGGATTTGAATATTTTCTTGTGAAATATATATTTATGACCGATACAAAATCACCTCAAGAGACATATAATTTTAATGGTAAAGGTTGGGAGATTGGAGTCAATTTGAAAGGCGTCTTGATTATATTATTGAATTTAAGGATAATCAATTTATTTTTCATAAAGGTGATAAAGAGAAAATTTTAAATATGGAATGGGATATTAAATATAGAAATAGTAAATATACTAATGAAGAAATTATTGAAAAGGGAAAGATGTTTATTAAAAATATTGATGGTAAACATTTTATTAAGAATAAAAAAGTATATTGGAGACGTGAATTTTCAGAGGAAAAGAAGAAATGTTTACAAAATTATTTTAATAATATTAATAATTAGGTTAAATAATATTTTATTATTTTTATATTAGTAATTATTTTTATTATTAATTAAATTTTATTGTTATTATTAATAAAATAAGATATAAATATATGATATTTGAAATAATTTATATTTAATTTTTATATAATAAAATTATAAAATAATTACATATAATTTTAAAGCTTTGGAAGAAATAAAAACATGAGTCAAAAAACAAATAGTTTAAGAGATATTGTTTTATCGGAAAAAATTTATAATTTTAATGGTTTTGAAGAAATTAAAAATAATAGAGAAAGAAGAGTTATGATAGAAAGAGAATATAATAAGATTTGGAAATCTTTAGCATTTTATGTTTTTGGTCGTTCTGGAACTGGAAAGACAAGTTTTGTGGAAAAATTATTTGGAAAAGAATTATATAATAAATCAAATTTAACAAAAAGTGGAAATATTGGAAATATAGTTTTTCAAAGGAAAACAAAGATTTTTTAAAGAGTAAAATCTAAATAGTTATTTTTTATTTTTTTTATTATTTATGATTTTGTATAAATATAAGAGAAATTTTATTTTTATTTGAATAAATATTTTTTTATATACTTTAAAAAATGTCAAGAAGAAAATCAAAATTAAAATTGAAAATGAAAAGCTCAGAACAAGAATTTGAAAGATTTTGGGATCCAACTGTTTTTTATTTTTATGGAACTAGAGATTCTGGAAAAACAAGTTT